TGAGTCCTGAATATAGCTGGAGGGACTCCAGGCACCATGGCAACCACCTCTGTCAGTCTATGTAATAGTGTAGCCTGACACAGAGGAGTGAGCAGGTAGGACTCATCCAGGAGGGTGGAGAGGACTGATCGCAGCTCCTTACAGTCAGGGCCGGTGTGCAGAGTTGGTACTGTGCCCATGGGTCCCAGGATGAGAGAAGACAGTATGGCTGAGTCCTTGCTGCTTGCCAGGCCTGACTCCTGGTCTGCTTCCCATGCAGCTGATGTGTTCCCTCCCAGAAGGGCTTTAAGGTGCTCAGCACCAGCTCCTGCTTCCTGGGTGAGCTGATAGATGGCATTTCTTAACACCAGAGTGTAAAGCTCCGCGTAAGCCTGGTGGAGCCTCGACGTTTCCTGCTGCCAGAGCCCACCCAAGAGCTCAAGGCGCTGGGAGAGGAGGCCGGGGCAGCAGGCCTCCAGTTCCCGCAGGCACTCGCAGGCTATTGCCCGAAGAGGACGCTGGCTGCCATCCGTATGGATGTCGCTGGTGTCCTGGGCTATTTGAAGGAGCACATCAAGAAAGTCTAGAGATGCACGGGAGTGGCTCTTCACACAGGAAGTGCAGATGAGGACGGAGGTGAGAGCCAGGAGGAGGTGACAACGAAACTGGACAGACTTAGGAGGACACTGGGCGAATACTGACATGAGCTCCAGGGCTGTCTCCTCACCCACAGAGTCCGAACAACACAGCAGGGTCGGGTGCTCACACAGCGGCGATAGCAGGAGGATCTGCGAGTGGGAAACACATAGAAGATAAGAACACTGCACACAAAAACATTAGCTTGCCTGGCCTTCCGCCAGGTTACTGCCACAAATCCTTAAAAAAAAACAGCAGGTCTGTAAGTACAGTCACATATATGTTACTGCTTTACATTTTCAAACTTCTCCGTGTCCCAAAGCTACCAAACAACACAGTTTGCTCATTGCTGTCTTGCGAATGTAGAGAGTCAAACACGGCTAATTTAGTGTCAGTGGCTAAGGTACACACGTCCCAGAGTGAAATAAGGGAACAGACAATGAATATGACACACTGCACTGTACATGTTTGCCAGCTGACACAATACCGACGCTTTCTGTTCACTATATTTACCTTAACGCTGTAAGTGGCTCTGTCATCGCGGAGCTCGCGGAGCAACTCCGCCAGGAAAGCCTCCGCGGTGGTCCCGGAGAGGAAGCCGGACGGACTGCGGGAGAAAGCAGAAATCCTCTCGGCCCAGTTCGCCGCCATTGTCTCTCAAATCCAAAACTTTATCGGCTTGCAAGTTATCATTTCAGGAACTGTTACTGAAATCCGCTGCTAGCAAAGTTGTCTTTGAGAATTAAAGAAACCAGGCTTCGCAAACATCCAGCATCCACTGTTGATAGTT